GTGCAGCACAAGCAGCGAGGGAAGCCAGGGCTGCATGTTCAGGGCAAGGAGAACAAGGCAAATGGCTTCGCCCTCCCCCATCGCGTTTGCTGGCCGCACTTAATAGCCCCCACTTCCCTCGCTACAGCATGTGACCTCGGTGGGATAGATTGCTGGACTGGGTGGCAAACCTCAGATAATAGAATGGGCTTTCGCTGGGTCGCTCCCCATAAGCTTTGTCACCCAGGCTCCCAAGAGAACAAGCCACGGTAAACCGCTATCCCTGGGCACCATGCAAACTCGGCTTCCAGAAACCCTTGGCACAAAGCAGCAGCCCCTGCAGCTAAATTAAGCCCTGGGGGTGGGGGGGGGGTTGCTGTGCCAAGTGAGCCAGTCCAAAAGGAGGGGCTTGTGGGCCAAGGAAGAGAGAAAGATCAGGTTTGGCTGAGGATGGAGACAAACAGGGCCAGCTCAAGCCATTTTGCAGTCTCAGGCAGAGCAGCAAATGGCATTCTTCACCCCATGAATCAAGGCACCCTATACCCAAAAGCCAGTGTTTCAGCAGCCATGGCAGAAAATCTCACATGCTTTCCATCCCTTCCCTAGCAGCAATCCGATCTACCAAGTCATCATACTTCCAGGATGCCCACAACCAGCATCCTAAGACAGAGGTCTCACATTATCTAGCCCCTTTGAAGAAAGCTGTTAAATGAGCGTATTGCAAAACTGCTTTTCTCTGATAACCACAGTGACCTGGGGAGGAGCACTACAAAAATGCCCAGGTGACCCTCAGGTGCCAGTTGGAGCCATGCCCCTAGCGCTGGCCGTGGCCCACGGAAGAGGGGGTTTGGAGCACGAAAGGCCGGGAAGAGCCACCTGTTGCTGGCGGCAGCCCAGACCTTTTGCTCGCAGCCTCAGCCTCGTGTCCCGAGCATTCTCGCGCTTGCTCTTGCGGAACTGCAGTTATCCTAAAGAGCATCTTGAGGACAACCAGAAGTGCCCTCTCTTCTCTCTCGCTCTCTGTGCACACTCACACATGGGGGGGGGGGGCAACCAGACAGGAAAGGCTCTCAGAAGCTTGACTCGATATGCTAAATGCATGCACCTGGATGTACATTTTAGGACACCTTTCCAAAGGCAGGTTTCGCCCCAGACCCTTATAATCCGTAGCAACCTCCGGGGGGAAAGGGAGAGCCTCCAGGCGCAGGAGGCGGGTGTCTAGGGCCCTCCCCGTCCACCGCCACTGTGCCGCTCTTCTCCCCCATCTCCCTGCACTGGTTCCCGCAATCGCAAGCTCGGCCCGTATTGCATGTCGACACCCCGTGGCCGAAGCACCCTGGGCGCCCCACAGCGACAACCCCACGCTGCAGCCACCCATCCTGCTCCCGAGCAGGCCTGGCCCTGCCCCGCTCCCACGATCGGGCCGCCCGGGCCCCCCGGGAGCGCCCCGAAGCTTCCCGCGGCTCGCCCTACTCACAGCCGCTGCCGCTGCTTCCGCGGGAGGCCCTGCGCGGGCGGGCGGCGGAGCGCCGGCGGGCGGGCGGGGGCGCGGGGCCGAGGGGGGGCG